GGAGGAGGAGGAGGAGGAGGAGGAGGAGAAGAGGAGGAGATGATTACACTGGTGGGACTTGTGTCGTGGGAGGAAAGCGGGTGTATGGGTGTTGTGCTGAGGAGGGTCGGAGCGGGATGGGAGCGGCGGTTGGGAGAGATTGTGTGCCGAGGTGTGGGAGGGGAAGAACATCGAGGAGGAGGAGGAGGAGAAGGGGGAGGAGGAGAAAGAGGAGGAGGAGAGGAGAAGGGAAGGAGACATAGTTAGTGGAATAAAGAAAGCGAAGCGAAAGAAAAAGACGGCGTGGAAGGGAGAGAGAGGGGGGGTGGTCGTCGAGGAGGAGGAGGAGGAGGAGGAGAAGGGGGAGGAGGAGGAGGAGGAGAGGAGAAGGGAAGGAGACCTGGTAAGTGGAATAAAGAAAGGGAAGTGAAAGAAAAAGATGGTGTGGAAGGGGGAGAGAGGGGAAGGAAAGGGAAAAGAATAGAATAGAGAAGATATGTATAAGGTGAGTGAGGAGAAAAGCCGGTGTATGGGTGTTGTTGTGCTGAGGTGGGTTGGAGCGGAACCGGAGCGGTGTATGGGTGTTGAGGTGTGGGAGAGGAAGAAGGAAGAAGGAAAAGTACAACGAAAAATGGTGACGTTGTGCAAAGTTGTTCTGTTCGCTCGCTCGTTGGCTCTCCTTTATCTCAATAACCATTCGTTCATTTGATGCGTAAGATTTCTTAGGACGATAGACGGAAGATGTGTGTGTGAGACCGTTGAAATAGCTAAGAGGGAGAAAAAAAGGTGGAAAAAAAAAGTCGATGGATCTATTTATGTGTTCGTCTATGGAGTCTTGGCGGGTAATTGGATATTAGCAGGCGTGTGTCTCACCCATTGAGTAATCTCATCGAATGCATCTGGGGGCCATATTCAGTTAAAATGCACAACTGGTGATGATGATGATGATGAGCAGCAGTTCTGGTTGGTGATGAAAAGTTGATGAGGATGATAATGATGATGTTGATGATGATGATGATGATGATGATGAAGCAAACTTGCCACGTGTAATGGACAGATGCCGATTACGATTCTACTGGTGCTGGTGTTGATGATACTGCTGCTGCTGCTGCTGCTGATGATGATAATGATGATGATGATAATGATGATAATGATGATAATGATGATGAAAAGGGTGATGATGACGGAAAAGATGATGATGGGGATGAAGATAAGTGCGCTGGTGCTAAAAGACTGCTGATTGATGATTGATGATGGATGATAATTGATAATGATGATAAATGATGATGATGTTGAGTGGATTGCTGTTATCGCGATGGCGCAACTTCCGTGATGATGATATTGATGACCTCTGTAGCATATTGGTGGCAATGTTTGTGTATTACGCATAAAGGGAAATATATATACATATATACGCATATATAGGTAGACATAATAATTATGTTAACGACTTAATGCATGGCAATTATGAAAATGCTTGTTGCATGTAGATGGTGATGGTGATGATGAATCGATGAGGATGCATGTAGAATGGTCATAAATGCTGATGGATGTTGATTCGTCGCAATGGTGATGGTGCTGATATGTTGTTTGCAAAGCTGAGGATAATGATGATGACGATGATGATGATTATGATGATGATGCATTGATGATGATGATGATGATGATGATGATGATGCATTGATGATGATGATGACGATGAGGATGAGGAGGGGGAGATGAGGAAGGAGGGGTTGTTGAGGATGATGACGACGTTGCAATCGACGCTGAGAAGTTGTTACTTGATCTGCGCAAATGTGCAGAGAACCCTCTTTCCCTCTCACCCTCCCTCCCTCCCTCCTCCCCCCCCTCTTCCTTCCTTTGCCGTTTGCTTCTCTCCTCTCCTAGTTCTCTCTTCTCCTCGAAAGAGTATTGTGAACGAGGTAAGTCCAGTGTGCCTGCTGTTGCTGTATGTTCTGGGTTAGCTCAGGAATGACAGCGAGAGAATGTTGCGAGAATGTTCCGTTTCATGGCGATAATAGAAGTGCTGAAAACGGTGAAAATCTTCTTTTTCAGGAAGATTTAGGGTTGAAAATGATGGGCATTTTTTTTCTCGTTCTTCATGGTCGTGATTTTGTTTGTAGGGGTGGCATTGCTCGGCCCACAGTCAGAGAGAAGTAGCTTAGCGGATCTTTGAGGTTTCATGTATAATATCACCACCTCTAGAAGAAAGAAAATGAGAGAGAGAGAGAGAGAGAGAGAGAGAGAGAGAGAGAGAGAGAGAGAGAGAGAGAGAGAGAGAGAGAGAGAGCGATGGATTTTTTTTGGCGACGTAGAAAACGAGTATTGGTGTTATCAATCGAAAAAAAATTGGAGTTTTCTTGGAATGGAGAGTGAAACTGTGTGAAACGTTGGATTTGCGGATTGTATGCTGACTTTTCCTCTCGTCCCTCTCCTCCCTCTCCTCTCTTCTCCCTCTCCTTCCACTCCTTCAAATCCTCTTCTCCCTCTGCTCCCTCTCCTCCTGCTCGTCGCTCTTCTTCCGCCCCCACTTCATCCCCGGCCTCCCTCTTCCCTATTCTCTCCGCTGTCCCCAAATTGTGTCAAGACGTGGTTTTGCTGTGTGTTCCTCTCTCCTCCCTCTCCTCTCCTCTCTTCTCTCCTCTCTCTCCTCCTTTCCTTCTTCCTTCTTATGCCCTCTCCTTCCCCAAGAGCCTCGCCCACTCCCACCCCTTTGAAAAAAAAAGCTTTTTTTTTTTGTCAACTGCCTCAACGACATTGCCTTCTACACTGAAAGCCTGGGAGAGAAGGAAAAAAAGAAGCCTTTTTTTTTTGTCCACTGCCTCAATGTCCTTTCCTAGAGTGGAACTTGCTTTTCAGCAGACACTGGGACAGTAAAATTTGTTTAAGGAAATTTTTTTTCCTATCCTTGACCGATGAGCCGGGGAGCGAAAAAAAAAGAAACGGTAGATGCGGTGCTGTGAGTGTGGAAGGAATTATTGAAGACGAAAACGAAACTATAGTTAAGAGAGAAAAAAAAAGTGAAGAAATGCGTGCCCTTTGAGATGATACAATGCAAAAAAAAGAAAAATAAAATAAAAAATCGGTTGGAGGTGAAGATTAACTTGATTTTCAGCAGAGACGGGGAGAGTAGAATGGATAATGGCAGTTCCTGAAACAGTCGTTCCCTGAGCTTTGCCTCTCCGGAGAGCTTCTCGCTCAGGTCGGAGCTGTGGCAGCTCTTGTGAGGGACGCACGCCTCAGGGCTCGGTTGCCCGCTTTCATAGTAATAAAGTTTCTTTCTCTTTAAAAAAACGAAAAAAAAGAAAACATAAATAAGAAAATAAGAAAACAATTGATATTGCCGCGACTGATGTTCCGGGGCGTGGTCCCACAGCAAAGAGGATCGGATCGAATGCCTGAATCTGGACGTGTTTGTCGAGAGGTGCAGGAAATCGAGATTGAACTGATTTTCTGCAACTCTGCATAAAACACGTCCACATTCAGGCATTCGATCCGATCCTCTTTGCTAATGGGACTTCGGCCCCGGGAAAAAAAAAACGAGATGGTAGATGACTTGCTGTGAATATGGAAAGAATTACTGAAAACGAAAACGAAAATGTATAAAAAATGAAAGAAAAGGGAGAAAAAAGGAAAAATTGAAGACATGGGATGCCTCCGAGATGATGAAATGCAAAAAAAAGAAAAGTCTGATCGGCTGGAGTTGGAGATTAGGAATTTTGTGAATATGGGAAGAATTATTGTAAACGAAAACGAAATTATAGAAAAGGGTAGGGAAAAAAAAAAAAAAAAGTGAAGACATGGGATGTTTCCGAGATGAAAAAATGCAAAAAAAAAAAAAAAAAGGCTGCTCGGCTGGAGTTGGGGATGACGAACGATTGTCTATATACGATATAAATAAACGTCATAAGACC